GGAACCCATTGGCGAAAACAACTTTTCAAAAAATTCGCAGAAAAATACAGAAGCAACGCAGGCCGATGACTCTGCACCAAATGATGAAGAAGGATGACGCCCACCTGGGGCCCAAACCTCACAAGGCCTGAGTAGCCAGAAACCCGGAAATTAAATAAATTCCAAAACCGAAAAAAGTGCTCGAAGGAATTGGAATTCCCGGATCAAATTCCGCACACGGGTAGAGGGAATTTTTCCCGCGACAATAAGTCCGAACCAAGAAGATCGGCCGAATAGAAACCGGGAATTTCGGAAAAACAGGAAAAGGTTACCCAAGGAGCGGCCCGGTACAGCTCACGCCTAGGGTAGAAGCCCATAGGCCACAGAGCCAGTGCAGAAACAAGACACCTCGAGGGATGACGCAACCCAACGAACAAGGGAGGAAACATGACACAGACGTAAGAAAGCGGACACCGGAGCTAGCAATAACAGCATGACGTAATAACCAGACCAACGTAGAATGTGACACCAGCGAGAAATGCCCAAGTGGAAGAAACCGAACACCACGAGCAAAACGATGAAGGACAACTGGCAACCGCAGCAAGAAATTGGAAACCGGCGCCGAGAGCTCGCTCAGAGCTCTTTCGATACCGGTTTGAGGTTGTTTCGACTCGATATTCCTCGAAGGCATTGAAGGAGTCAGGGCGGCTCTCCTGTCGGCAGTCGATGCGGGTCTCGAGGCTTTCTTCGTGCTGGCTGAAAGAAAATGTGGATCTTAGGTGAATACGACAACTTTCTCCGAACGCATGGTCCAGATCATGGTAGAGGCCGGGATGTTCCTTTGGATCTGATTCAATCCGATTCCACAGTTGGGTATTCGAGCCGGGAGAAGGTCATGCATGAATTTCAATTTTCGTCGAGATTTTCGTCGGCTTACTCGACACTGCATCGCAGTGATTCCAGAGGAGAACGCGGGCTTACCCGCATAGAATGTGGACGGAGGGCTAGGACTCAGCTCTGAAACCGTTCGAAAGCATGAGCAATCGTAGCGGTCACTTAAACCCACCCATCGAACAATACATGCGTCCCGCCAAGGTTCGACCTTTTTTACTTTGATCAATTTTGATATAATATACATCTCTGTCCGTCACGGCCCTCACGATCCCGGACCAGTCTCCGATGACTCTGTCACATTACTTCTCTTCGATGATGACTCTTCTGACGTATCCGGGGGGCTCGGTCTTCGCCTCGGGGCAGGCCTCCTCGACCTTGGGTTCTCCTTTCGGATTCGCGGCTTCTGGTTGAGTTGGAACGACGGACGGGCGCCTCTTACGACGAGTTCCCTCATGAGGGCCGGTGATAATGCGATCGAGAACTGCAGTTGGTTCAAGAAAACGGTCAGCGGAACGTTCAGAGGCTCGTTCGGAAGATCCCTGGTAGGGGGCATGAAATTCCGAAGCAGCTCGTGGCGAGGGTTGACGTGTCTCTCACGGAAGTGCTTCGCACAGGCAGCCTTCAGATCTGTCGGCCGTGTGAAAGGGTGACGAGCCTCATACGCTGGACACAGCCGACACGCCGTGAAGTTTTCGTTGACGAAACTCGCACATATGAGAACTGTCGGGAGGGTCACACATGTTATTGCGTCCCGGACGGTAGTTGTTGAGGCAATCTCTACCAGAGATCTCGCGAATGAGAGTGCGACGTAGGGCCGACTCGGAACATTCGAGGCGCTATTCTCGCTGACTTCATCAGTTCGCACGCTCATGAGTCTCGAGAGGAGCAGAAACACGAGACTCAGTGTTTCGACATCATGTGGTCCTCTATCCGCGTTGACGACTCTCATTCGGCCCTCCGGACATTCTATGAAGCCGTACGCTCCCTCATCGAACTGTCTCCCTAGAGTTTCCCAGAGTTTCGAATACGTTGGCGAGAAGATGAACGAGCCGTTGCTCTCAACGAGAATGTGTTCTAGTAGCTGTATGTTGGGACCGGCTGGAAGGAGAAAATAATGGATCTGAGTCAGCTGTCTACTCGGCTTCCTCGAGATTGTTCGATATCAGAGAATGTATTACTTGGATATCGAAGGCGGTCAACGGGCTCGGGATCCGGACTCGAGAAGAGCTTTCCTGTAACAGAATTCGGATCTGTTTAGAAAAATATCCCGCACGGAATGTGGACGGAGGGCTAGGACCCAGCTCTGAAACCGTTCGGAAGCATCAGCAATTGTAGCGGTCGGCCCGTCGA